GGTTTCAGGGATCAAACTCAGATCATCTGTCTTGGTGGTAAGCATCCCTAACCACTGACACATCTTGCTGGCCCCAAAAGTAGATTTTTTACAGAACAGACAGAAGTAAAGAGCAGCTTCTGAGAAACAGGCCTTGATGGGAGAAGGGATTCATGTGTGCTTTATTTCTTGTTCCTTTCTGCCTTGTTAGAAATAGCACTCTATCATATCACCTTTACTTCTGCCTTGAATCATGGATCCTTGATGTTTCCAAAGCCTTAGAATTAATTAGGTTTTCATTCTCCAGCATTCTGTTTCATCTAATAGAATACATGATTTTTTTTTCTCATCTCACTTTATTAAGTAATTCCTACTGCTAAAATCCCACCCTTTTATTTATTAATTTTTTATTTTACATACTAACCACAGTTTCACTTCTCTCCTCTCATCCCATTTCTTCCCCCTTCCTCCTTTCTTACCCCTCCCCACCCCCATCCACTCCTCAACAAAGCATGACATACCAAATTGAGTCAGGACCAAGCTCCTCCCTGCTGCATCAAGGCTGAGCGAGGAATCTAGATCATCATAGGGAATGGGTTTCAAAAAGCCAGCTCATGTGCCAGGGACAGATTTTGGTCCCACTGCTAGGGGCCACAAACAGACCAACTATCACCTCATGCAAACAGCTTAGTAAAACCCCACTCATATCCTCAAATTATCAAGTAGTTAAAATATACAGTTATCACAGAACCTCTGAATTTAACAATCATGTAGACAGGAACACACATCTTTGTGGTATGAAGATATGAAGATATCTTCACATGCTGTGTTCTCTATTACCCTATGGTTTGTACTAATCCAGAGAAAGCATAATGCTTCATAGTGCTCACCAAACTTTTTTGAAGAAGCAGCATCGACATTAAAGATGCTGCAGACTGCTTGTCTCACTTGAATAATGTGCATGTGGAGAGATGGAATGATGTACAGGGGGGCAAAATCATCTTGGGCTTGTTCAGGTCCTTTAGTCGCCATTTACCTCAATGTTAGTTTCTGATCTAACGTTCTCATAACTAGTAGATAGATACACTTCTCAGAACGGAAGCTTAGCAGACCTCTGACTTCCACCTTCCAAAGATTAAGAAAGCCGAAACTTCCTAAAATATACACATACATAAAAGTGATCTCAAAGAAACCACCAAATAGTGGGGGAAACAGAGTTCCAGCTAGTCATCTCTTGTCACCAAATTAAGTTTTCAGGACCAGGATTGGGTTATATCTAATTGATCTGTGGGTGAAAGAGGCCCCATTGGAATCCCCAATCAACCCAGGCTGTTGCCAAGACTATAGGCTGCTCTCCACAAACTGACTGGCAAGGTCCCATTGCTGAAGACAACACCTACACACCTCATTGAACATGGAGATGTCTAGCTGGTGCCGACATAAAGCCTTCATCCCTATGTTCTAGTGTCTTTGGTACAGGAAGGCACTCTGCATGCTACCAAAAGAGAAACATAAACACCAAACCAGCCACAAACCCTTTATCTACAATGGTGTCCTGCCTGCAAGACATGCTAGGGCAATGGTGGCACAAAGCTTGTGGGAGTCACCAACCAAATAATGCTAGTCTTAAAAAAGAAAGAAAAAAGTGTAGGGATGAAATGACTCCTAATGACAGTCTGCTATACTCATAGATCAGTGCCTTGTTCAGCCATCATCAGAGAAGCTTCCTCCTGCAGCAGATAGGAACAAATAAGAGACCCACAGCCAGACACCACGTAGAGAGTGAGGCTTGGAACACTCAGCCCTAAATGAAATCCCTTTCCTCATTTGCTCAGAGAACTCTGTAAAGGAGGAAGTAGGAAAAAAGGAGAGAGAGAGAGAGAGAGAGAGAGAGAGAGAGAGAGAGAGAGA